TCAGGAGGCATCTTATACCTGCAGCCGGTCCGTCAGTGCCAGACTACTGCAGACTACTGCAGACTACTACAGACTACTACAGACTACTCTAGACTACTGCAGACTACAGCAGACTACTACAGACTACTAGAGCCTACTGCAGACTACTACTGACTACTGCAGACTACTCTAGACTACTGCAGACTACTACAAACTACTGCAGACTACTCTAGACTACTGCAGACTACTACAGACTACTGCAGACTACTCTAGACTACTGCAGACTACTACAAACTACTGCAGACTACTCTAGACTACTGCAGACTACTACAGAGTACTAGAGACTAATGCAGACAACTACAGATTACTGCAGACTACTGCAGACTACTACAGATTACTTCAGACTACTGCAGACTACTAAAGACTACTAGAGACTACTGCAGAGTACTACAGAGTACTAGAGACTAATGCAGACAACTACAGATTACTGCAGACTACTACAGATTACTTCAGACTACTGCAGACTACTAAAGACTACTAGAGACTACTGCAGACTACTGCAGAGTACTACAGAGTACTAGAGACTAATGCAGACAACTACAGATTACTGCAGACTACTGCAGACTACTACAGATTACTGCAGACTACTGCAGACTACTACAGATTACTATAGACTACTACAGACTACTGCAGAGTACTAGAGACTACTACATACTACTACAGCGTATTAGAGACTACTACAGACTACTACAGACTACTGCAGACTACTACAGAGTACCACAGACTACTACAGAGTACTGCAGACTACTACAGACTATTGCGGACTAGTAGACACTACTAAAGACTAGTGTAGTAGTAGAGACTACTGCAGAATACTACAAACTACTACAGACTACTAGAAACTACTATAGACTATTACAGACTACTGCAGACTACTGCAGACTACTACAGAGTACTTCAGACTACTGCAGACTACTAAAGACTACTAGAGACTACTGCAGACTACTACGGACTACTGCAGATTACTACAGACTACAGCAGACTACTACAGACTACTAGAGACTACTGCAGACTACTACTGACTACTGCAGACTACCTTATTCTACTACAGAGTACTTCAGACTACTACAGACTACTGCAGACTACTACAGACTACTAGAGACTACTGCAGACTACTACGGACTACTGCAGACTACCTTATTCTACTACAGAGTACTTCAGACTACTACAGACTACTGCAAACTACTACAGACTACTAGAGACTACTGCAGACTACTACAGAATACTACATATTACTCTTTCAGTCCTGAATGTGCTCTGTCTTTTTTCTTCCTTTGTGTCTCCAATTTAGAAGCTTACATTCACATGTTGTACTTGTTGTCGCGACTCCACGGTCATGATTCCTCAGCCAGAAGCTTTGGCTTCGCTGGTCGATGTGTCCTTGGGCAAGGCACTTAACCACAAAGTGCTGAATGGTTCGGTGGATCGGACGGGTAGGCGGCACCTTGCATGGTAAATGGTAAGTAAATGGACATAATTGAAGGACATGTAGACTGAAAGTGTGCAGTGTGACTATTTAGGCAAAAAGTCGATCCATTGATTACATCGTTCTTTGCCCCGCTGAGGCCAAAATCACATCTTTTCAATGAATCCTCTTTGCGTCGTAGTCTCAGTCGAGGAGCTCCCACACAGGAAGTGGAAATAAGGCTCACACACAGCAGCTCATTAACTCGCAAGTTTTTCTGCAAAGAAACTTTGTCTCCGTCTCCGTTTCTTATCGCTAAAAACAGTTGCTGTGCTCTCGGGGGTTTGCGTAGGTGGCCCTGAAGTCAAAGCAAAAAGTAGCGAAACTAATGAATAAGCAGTGGAGGTGATTCCAGCCACTTCATCTCACTTCGCTTGTTTGTTAGACGTGTGTGTATGTGTGTGTGTGTGTGCATTTCAGGGACAAAGAGGAGGGAGAAACTCAAATACATGGGGGGGGGCAACAGTTGGTGAATGGGTTACATGTGAATCCCTCTGTGGGGATTCTAAGTGAGGACCAGCTGTGAGGCTGTTACCAACATGGAGGCATTTCATTACTCCTTGCAAAGAGGTTCACTTATCATAACTTGTGACCGGCAGTGTGTATTTCCCCGCCTAATTTACCGTGATCGAAGTGGGCAATTATTCACAGTAACCTCTGTGTGCGCAGATGGAGCCTTCTCACACAGCTTCCACTTCCATTTGCAGAGATGAATGTTAAAATTAACACATATCAAAAGGTTGTATTGCGTGCACGACCAGTTTGATGTGCGGGCGTCACCGTCGGGCCTCATGGCCACTCGCTAAATGCCAGCTTTCAGTCAAAAAGTGTGAGAAACAGACAATGATTGTCAGGATCCTGCAGAAATGTGTGACAAAACATCACAGAATGTGAGGATTTATTTCTGCTTCCCTTTATTTCCGGTTGGTTCTCCGTATGCTTCGTCTCGCCCTCTTTATTCCCATCGTGGCATATTGTCACGTCTGTAGACGTCACATTTACCAATACATGATTACACTTTTACAGGCACGTTGTTCCTTCATTCATTCACACAGATCGAGATGTTCTAGAAGTGAGCTGGAAATGATATATAATAAACATGTACATTGCACAATAGATCTCCTTCTTGACACTATTTCACAAACTGCCATGACACTGGGATATTCACACAAGTGTGAACTTATTCTTTTAAACTCCATATGTGTCGAGTGCAACACTTGACCGGCATAGCAACAGTAACTAGGAGACATGGTTACTGCACATATGATACACGTGCTACGCACAGGACACTCAAACCTTCAGGCTCGAGGGGCGGAACCAAAAGACCACGGGGCCAACCCGTCACCTGGGGGCCCCAGCGAAGGCAGAGCACAGGAGTTCAAACCCGCCATCGCGTGCCGTGTGGAATGCAGTCCAGGTCGCCATGGCAACTGGCGGCAGACCCACTCCGGCTGTGAAAACGTTGACTGTTGACCGCTCCTCCATGACACTTGACGGCTGAACTTGAACCTGAACTTGTCTCGAGGGCTCGGAGCTGTGCATCGAAACGCTGGATCGATAAACATGGAGGGAGAAAGTGATGTGATGTGCTGACAAACAGCTCAGAATAATTAGCTCCTGAGTCACATTCAGGAGAATTTGACAAAAACCCAAACATGACGTCCAGAGCTGTGACGATTGCAAACAAAAAGGGGAGGGGCTTATCCATTATCATCCATATCCATTATATTATCCATTATCCATAGTATCCATATACTATTCCATATATGGAATACTGTTTCTCTGTTTACGAGTCAAATAGCTACCTTTGTCATTGGAAGGCTGTTGCCACGGCGATTCGTCTGTGTGCTCGTTTCACAGCTTCAACCCTTTGAGTTCCCACAACATTTGATGATTTTTTCCTTTAAGTGCAACACGACGAAAACACAGCGCACACACACAACTTAATTCAAGGTGAACGTGGTCAAATCACTACGAACAGGAGAACGTGCGCCGCTAGCAAAGCAAGATGGAAGCTATCATGTGCGAATGTGTATGCTGTTGTTAGTGAGCACGACTTCAGAGCATAATAAGGAGGCTTCAGTAAGGCTCAGTGACACATTTACCAATTAGTTTATTCTGAAAATACCTGTTCAGGCAGTTTTGAATTGATAAGCAGTAAACATGAATACATTGGAGCTACAAAGTGTTCCTGTGAGCTTCTTCTGTGCGTCACAACACGTGGAAACAATGGTTCATGAATGCTGGTTTTACTGTTACTCAACATGGAAAATTACATTTGATGATCATCGTCATTCTGCAGGGGTCTGTAACTGTAGAAAGCGGAGGTGAGTCACCCCCCCCCCCCTCCTCCCCGAGGGAGTTCAGTATCGCTATCTTGTGAACGAGTGAGTGTGAAATGGAGCGAGTGGACCGCCAGCGGCGACGCCGGACCCGTCTCAGGGGGCGCTGAGACACGTGGCGAAGGTTCTAAATTATTAGTCCGAACACTTCGTGACCCTCACTTACGGTCGCAAACTCTGTGAAGCGAAAGGATCCCTCGCTCTGTAGTGCACCGGGCTGTGAACACAAAGTGGACGTGGCCGTTGGGCTCAGCATTGGAGATCAAACATCTGAGGAAGCTTTTCCTTCACTCCAGCAGGCCTCGAAGGATGTAGGCGTCATCTGCTGACAGGCAGGGTGCAGCCGATCGGGACACCCCCCCCCCCCTTTCAGAGGCCCTCGGTAGAAGTCTCGGAGGGGATTATTGGGGAGAGGGAGGGCCGGGATACGTTGCTAAACTCAGTGTACACAACCAGGCCGAGGACGAGCAGAACGACTCAACTACCAACTGAAGTTTGTTTCATGGATGTGTGAAGCAATATCCATCACAATGAGTACAGGATATGATTATATCGACTGAAAAAGGTTCATTTGTTTTAGAATATATAACTAGCAGAGGCTTGGTGTGCTTCGTATGAAGTGCTATGACTCATAACACAACTATGCATGTGCAATTCAATTATACTCCAAGTGTCACTTTTAACAACATGGTAATTGAGACGGACTCCAGGCAGCGGGTCTGAGTTTGAATAATGTTTTGCCCTGAAAGTGCTTTTAGTTTCCAAACACGATTCGGGTCAGTTACGTAGCCTAATTGTCTCTCAGTATATCTATTTTGATAAAAATCAGAATTTCTTGACAATGGCACGAGTCTAGTGTTTTTAAAAGGAGTTTAAGATGTATTTTACTTTCCAACCCTTTTGCAGCCATTTAGCGGTATTTCATTTTCTCACCGACTTCTTTTCAATGAGTCTTCTTTTTGACACAAGAGGAGTCGCCCCCTGCTGGTCAGCGGAGATGGTGCACGTCTTAAGACGCTTTGCATTGCCGTGGCTCGGCGGAAGCAGAGGTTAGCGTCGTTAGCTAGCATCATTAGCAGTGACGTCATGCTGAGATGCGGAACAAACACATGACCCCATTCAAAGCTGTTAAAGTCAAATCATTTAACAGAGAATGAATCAATATATTCACTTTTATTATTAAATTATACATCTATACAATAGATCCTTAATAAAACTGCAGCTATACAAATCATTAAGAATGAGTAACCACGTGATATAACCCATTGCAATATAACCAAAACACTCTAAGAGGCATGTTCTCATTCACTGATAACGGGGGGTCTGCACACTACCACAGCTTGAGACATACTTAAATAACAAGGACATGCACAGATGGGACCCCGACGATCTTTGGATCATGCCGCTACCTCGCATCACTTCCTGTCTGGGGATCTTCAGCCAGACGGAGGCTGTGGGGCGTCAGAGAGGGCGGTAATGTTCATCGCTTTCTCATCCATCAGTCCATCGGTGCATTGGTCCAGAAATGGGAAAACCAGCCTAAAATATATCTTCACTATTGTGAATCGCTTCCCTTGAATTTTTGTACAGACATTTATAATCCCAGGTGGTTGAATTGTAATGACTTCATTCATTCATGACAGTGATACCCAAAGCCGGCTCAAGCCTTTTGTTGAGCTCGTTCAAACTACAACCGACAAAGACAAGGACGGCTGACCTGCTTTGGAGCAGCTTAAGCTAGCGAGATGTCGTCCCCCAACACGAGCTGCAGGTGAGACGTAGCATTTCCAGAATAAGAATCACTTTTTGTTCTGGTGTTTAATCGCATTACAGGCTCACCGGAGCACTACTCCGTATACAAAACATACGTATCCCTGTAATCCAGATAATAAATAAAACAAATTATGCCTGGTGGCCCTTTTTATTTTGCAAAAAGCTCTAAAAACACAAAACCTTTGCGTCGGTACTTTTGTTTCGGTTTGGTGCACCGTTTAAGTTTGGCTTGTATCGCCGAGCCCGAGACAAGCGGTACAAACTCAGGTAGAGTGACCAAGTGTAGTGGGGAAGGTCACGATCTGGGAACCACCTGGGACCACCTGGAGCTACCTGGAGCTACCTGGGACCACCTGGAACCACCTGGAGCTACCTGGAGCTACCTGGATCTTCTCCTTTAGTAATCTCTTTCTTGCTACTTTCATGATTCCATGTACACGCTGCTTTTGGAATCTTACATACTTTTAAAAAGGTGCAACGTGTAATATCTGTCTAAAGACCTTATAAACTAAAATAAGAGACAGCAAAGTGTGAGGAGATTACGGTTTTGACTTTATAGTGAAATATGTTAACGTATTGTGCTGCAGAGAGGGAGACGTTAAACTGGTCAAAAATAGTTATTTCAATAGGCGCTTCTGTATATTATTATATCTGACGGCTGCACATTTAGACTGTTGGAAAAAGGTAAAAGAGGTGAGGTGCTGCCCCCTAGTTGCTTGGAGCAGATGGACGGATCTGACGCGTTGCACCTTTAAAAGTAATACAACAGCAGATTGTGCAGTTAAATAAAAGCAAACGAACATCTGCTGTCAAAACAATGCACATGAATGGTGTGCAATGCCTTTTTTGGGGGGGGGGCAAGATTTGAAAACCTGGAACACGTGTTGATTTACATTCTGGTTCGCATCCAGTTGGCTGAAGATTACACAATTGTGAATAATAACCCTAACAATCCGCCTGTTATCCTTTATTGGTGGTCAAGTGGCAGGAAACTAAAACCTCCTTTTTATTCTGCACAACGACAACAAGCTCCCTTCTATGGAAATCACACAGATCACTCGCAAAATGTCCAAAATGAAAGCTTGTATGCAAATTAGGCACTCATACAGTATAGGCAGTGTTGTCCCTGTTTCTTCTGCTGGAACGTTTCACCACCAGTGGGGAAAAAAAACAAAGACGGCAGCAGATGCGCGCGTATCTTACAGGCCTGCGCCTCCTCGCACAGAAAGCTTGGGCGGGTCCGTCTCAGCCCATTCTAACCAAATGTGCCGAGTTGTGCGCTTTCAGGACGGACAGCAGCGTTTCCCGGGGCGTCCCTCTCCGCCCCCCCCCAACACCCCCCACCGCGGGACATCCACCTTTTTGCTTCACACATGTTTGCGACTACACAGCAGCTGTGTTCCGGCAGCTTCACCGACATCAAGCACACCGACCGCTGCAGAGCTTCGGCCGCGGCGCCACCGGCTGCAGGCTTTTTGTTGTTGTTGGGGGTAGGGGGGGGGTTGGGGAGGGGGGGGGGGGACTTTCGGGGGCACGTGGATGTTTTTTTTGTTGTTGTTGTAAAAAACAGAAAGAGAAAGAGAGGGACTCCTGCAGCGGCGCGTCCACCTGTTAGTCCTTAATCCGGGTGTCAGATGTAGTACTCCTTCATGTTGTCCCCCGCTGCGCCGTGGAGGTGCAGCTCTGTCCTGTAGTCCGTGTACATGCCGTGTCGGCTCTCCTCTTTGACGCCGCCGCGCCGCCGCTCCTCTGCGCCCGCCGCTGCTGGTAGAGCAGGCGGGTTACCACAGCCAGGGCGCACGCGGCGATGAAGACCACCGCTGTGACCACACCTGAGAGCACAGCAGGGGGGGGGGGGGGGGGGAGTAGAGACATCAGTACTCTGGGCAGAATGACCATAGACACTAAATCATGCAAGAAGAAGTCTAATCCTGCTGGCGACGGCGAGAAGAATCTGCTCGGGCGAATCGACGAGTGCAAAGAGTCAGATGACTGATGAAGGTCACACTGATATTTTATTTTTTGTTTTTATATAAGTCGTCTGACTCAAAGTCGCTCCAAAAAGGATGAAATGTCAGACCCGCAGGTGCGGACCTTGGATGATCAGCCTGATTTGCACATGACTCCTCTGGCGTGTCCGAACCAACCATCAATCATCACTCAGCCCGTCAACCCAAAACCACGTCTGCACCTCATCGCCGCCCCGATGCAGAGCTTGTTAGCGCACACGCCGTGTCTCAGGGTGTTCCTGCACTACAACAGATGTGTTGATGAGTGTAAACAACAGTTATCCAGTAACACCCCCCCCCCTTGAAAGCAATTATTCCTTTGCACCCTTTCCTATAAATCGCTAAATGTTTAACTAGTCAGTGATTTGAAAGAGGTGTTTAGAAAGCACAAAGAATCCTTCAACGGCATCCTCGCCGAATCCATTTCACGAGTCTGAGCAATCAGAGACCAGGGAGGGAGATATTTAAGATGGAGGCCAACAGAGGGGGGGGGGGCAAACAGTTGGGACGCGCTTCTTTAATCCGGCGGAGAAACAGAAAGCGGCACAGAAGTGAGGAAACAGACCTGCTATCACGGCCAAATCCTTCTGGGCGCTGCTGGCGCGCTGCTCCTTCTCCTTGTTGGCTGGTACAGTTTCATCTGCAGGAGCAGAAACAGGCAGATCAACGGACATCGATGTTCCGTGTCACACAGGACGCATCAGAATAACCCAGCCAAGTGACGTGCCGTTTGAATGAAGGGGGGGGGGGCAGGTGTGTTCTAGTGTCGGTGTGATTGAGGCAGAACAGCAGCAGCTGCAAACAGGGGACGATATTTTCACGCCGAAGGTAAAGAAACGTGTTTCATTTCCCTGCGAGGTTCTTCCAGCAATGTCATCAGACACTTTTAACACAAATGCCGCAGTAAAAGGAAAATGAGGAAACACCGAAGTCGCTCTTTAGGGCTGTAAGTCGTGTAGAAACAGCAGCAAGAAAGGACAAATAGCCGTAATAACTTAAGCTGAGACACGGGGGGAGATATCGAGTCTCGGCCTTTAACAGCTGTTTTTTTTCCTCTGGCTGCATGAATCAGAAAGGAGCGATGTGATCCGACGCCCCCCCCCTCCGGCAGCAATGAGCGTTTTTAATGGGCCGACGTTGAGGGCGAGGAGTCGCCCCGAGCGATTTTTATTAACGGCCCGCTGCCTCTCAACAGAGGACCAATTTCAACAATTGTTGTCCCCCGATTAGTGCCGCGGGGGAGAAAACAGGAAAATGAAAGAAACAGAAGTTAACGCGCTCCGCTTCCTGTCCCTGTTTCATGTCCGCCTGCTGATGATGAAGGGTCGGCTGGTTCGCCGCTGGATGCGTTCAAGCTGCGTAACGGTGGCGTGGAGAACGTTTCCTGCTTCTCGAGGAGATCAAACCATGAAGCACATGTGAAGCGTAAACAGGGCTTTTGTGTCACTGTTAAGCAGACGTGTCAATACTACTCACATGCAGAGTAAAAGTAAAAGTGTAAAAGTACTGGTTTCAAAACGACTTATAAAGTAATATAAGGACAAACTCTTGACGTGTGACCTCGCTCACAGAACACAGAGTGATCGCAGGTGTCGGGTCTCCGTCGGGGTGGAGGAAACGCGGCGATATTCAGAGGGACAAGAGACAAAACCAGAACCCGATTCCCACCGAGGCTTAATGACACGACGTCATGAAGATGCTCATTTAACCGCACATGGAATCTGCACGAGGAGGAGGAGGAGGCTTCATGTCGCTAAAAACCCACTGAGATGTTCTCGTGTGAGAACACCCAACAGTTTGACGTTCGTACTTCTCATCCGACACAATCGGCTTCACTCTGTCCGGACGGCGCCATTCGTCTGGATGGTTGTTTGGCGTGTGTTTGAACGGCGACGAGCCGGGAACAACGAGGCTATTTTTTTTAAACGTGAGGAGTGCAGATGTTTGCGTGAAAATGTGAGAGTAAAAGTAAAAAGTCGTCTGAAAAAGAAATACTCCGGTAAAGTATAGATGCACAACGCTTCTACGTAAGTAAGGTGACATTGGTCCTTCGTTACTTAGACGACCTCTGCTGTTTGTGGAGAGAATTGAGTCAGACTCACAAACGCAGCCGGGACGGTTCTGGTTTCCAGTTAGCAGCCAAAGCGAGAGGCTTCTGGTCACAGACGCACTTTACGGGTGAGCGGGATCGATCCCCGAGGGAAGGAGGGAAGGAGGGAAGTGGTCCGTGCAGAGGAAAAGGCAGGAAGGAGACAAATAGCTCAGCAGCAACAACGAGGGGCGTGAAATGATGACAGCGTGGACGCCAAATGCGCTCCGGGTTAAGTCCTCCGCTCCGCCTCTAATCCCGTCCATCCCGCTTTTATCAATAAAGCACTTTATCGATAAAAGCGCATTAGCATTTCACCGCTTATCTTGTTTGGAGGTGATCCGAGGCGACGCTGGGCAGGTCGCCTGACTCTCGCAGGAGATAAAGACACGCGACTACTCGTGCAAAAGGGGGACACGCGCCAACCGGGAATCGGACCCCCCCCCCCCTCCCTGGCGTCCATAACCTGCACCAACGAATCGAATAAATGGTGCCGCGTCCCCCCCCCCCCTTCAAGTAGCTTGTTTTTCTTGTTTGCCTCATCAGATAAACGCCGCACAGAGAAAAGCTGGGAGCGCAAAACCTTTGATGAATAAACAACTGGGATGATTTTGTCATCAAGCGATTGATTTATTAGGAACCTTCATCTCTTTCCTCCTTATCGCTTTTATTCAGGTGACCTTTCAATGATCCTTAAGCCTGTGTGTGTGTTTCACCTTGCAGCGTGTGTGTGTGCGTGTGTGTTTCACCTTGCAGCGTGTGTGTGTGCGTGTGTGTTTCACCTTGCAGCGTGTGTGTGTGTGTGGTGTTTCACCTTGCAGCGTGCGCGAGGTGGACTCCGCCAGCGCGCCGCAGTTGGACTGCACCAGCGGGCCGCGGATGGAGACCAGCGAGCTGCCGCGGTTGGTCAACGCCGCCTTGAGCGGCGCGACGTGGTTGAACTGCACCGAGGAGAGGCAGCCAATGAAGCCTCTGGAAGCCGCCTGCGTCACTTCCTCCGCCAGGTTCTCCGTCTCTGCGGAGGGAGCAGAAGAGAGTTGGCGGTGCGCGTCGTGGCATTTTATAGCCGCATTTTTTCGATTTCGACGATTCCGCTGGTCTGAGCGCGGCGGCAGGACTCACTGGCGACTTTGCCCAATGTCAGGGACCTGATTAGGATCAGCTCTGCATCAGATGACAGTGTGTACTTCCTGTGGATGTCCTGGTCGATCTGGTTGAGTGGAAGGAAATCAAATAACAAGGCAATTACGAGAAATAGAACCGCGGTAACATCAGCAGCCGCTGCATTTCAATACATTATAGATTGAGACTTGTCTTCTCTACAGCTTCATGACACCCGTATCCAGCCACAGCTGGCTTCAAAGGGATTTGAACACACACACACACACACACACACACACACACATCGCTTAAGTTTATGATCTGCAATAAAACGCCGCAGTGATATTGGATTTATAAAAATGCAGAGCGTGCTACGTGTGATACAGCGCCCGGAGGAGTCGCCCCCTGGTGGACGCCGGAGAGAAGGCAGGTTTGAGGCAGCGCCGCATTAGCTTCTCTTTCGCTAACGACTGGTCCGCTGACTGCGTCCTTTACGGAGTCTCACATTTCCGGTTTCACAGCACGATACGGCCGTTATTAAAAGGAAGAATGTTTAGGAGAGAACGGATCAGATTGAAGAGCTTTTGTGGTAAGAAATGCGTAAATATGAGCGCTTATACAAGCCGTCATTGGCGGACTATGAGGACGCCGGACGGCCTCTGATTCATGGAGGGAGATCTCCACAAACGAGGGAACAAAGTAGTGGAGGAAAATACGGGACAAATGTGTCCGTGATGAAAAGCAGCAGTGTGGATGCACGAGGCAATAAAGTCTATGATCAATAAATAAACCAGCCAACGACTTCCACACACACAAGACGTGACTCTCCAGGTCGTCGCGAAAAAGTGAAACGAGCGCGTCGACTCGACGGTGCGTAAAGACGCATGCGGCGGCCTTAAGTGTTGAAACGTCCCGCTGTGAGCTTTGGGGGCGTTTGAAGCGCTCACCTGCACGTAGAGGTTCTTTCCCACTCGGTGGATTCGGATCCGATGGAGTCGTCCGTCCGCCAGGTTGGCGAGGACCGGGCTGAACACGTCTGGACTCCCGTCGGTCTGAAGGTGATACCAGATCTGCAGGCTCCCTGCACACAAAGCATCAAAACACATCAGTGGTCACATCCGCACGGCAAAGAAGGCTTCCAGCAAGAACAGCCACCGAGAGCTCCGGTGCTACTTGACCCACATGACCCCACATAAGCCTGTTGGTCCAGGCAGATTTAATTAAGGATTTAATATTAAGTTCAGCTGATCGACTTGGCTGAGACCAACAGTCAAGCGTCAAGAATTAAAGTGAACTTTAACTAAACTGCAGGCTGCTAAACAGGATCAATAATTGTATGTATACTGTATATATCAGACATAAAGCCTGCATCGCCCTCAACATTAGTAACACTTGCACTATGGATTGTTTTTTTCTTCTAATTTTTGTAAAATACATAAACGTAAATTTCACTTTTATACTTCTTTGCAATTTAAACTCCACCGACTCGACTTCAAGGCGTCAGTGAGAGAATACCCCCGTTTACTGAAATAATGTGCTCACTTATATATATAAAATAGAACGATGCATATCTTCTTCTTCAGTTGCCTTTTCAGATATTTAGATATGTGTCCTCGCTCCCACGCAGGAGACTCAGAAGTCAATATGTGCACAGTGTTCCTCCCACACACACACACACAACGGGATCAAAGAGCCAGATCGCCGTGCGGCGTCAAACGCAGCTCAGTCAATATTACAATTCCCCGCGTGCAGGTGAAGGGCCGTGCGCAGCGATCCCTTTCAGATCCTCAGAGCGCTCCTGCGGATGAAGGTCACCGCGGACGAAGTGCCTCCTTCTGTTTTCAGGGACCCCGGGGGAACCCGAGAGCTCGGTTTCCACACTGAAGAGTGACTCACGGGACTATAACAACCGGCAACTGTCGCTCCATGTGATGCTCCCGAGCTTAAAGGCCGTCGCATTAAAGCTGCCCTGCGTGCCGCCCTGCGTGACAGCGGGAAGACTTACAGGGAAACGGTTTCTTCTGGTTTTCGGTTTTCTTCTTCCGCTGTTCGCAGTAAGCCTGTGGCCGGATCACGCTTTGTGTCATCATCATCATCATCATCCCACACTAGCGGAACCTCGACAAATCCTCACGTGCGTCAGTAGCAGAAGACGTAGCAACGCTTCGGTGTCGACTTGAATCGGTGCACCTGCAGAATAATTCCGTACCAGATGTGTTTTGATCCAGTAAAGCTAAAGGCGTGATACCAGCTGAACAAATCCCTGTTTTTGTAATCTTTGCCGCCGCCTTGACTGAAAGGAAGAGCGAATGCGGGTTTAAGGGAGTGCGGGGGGACGATCACAACAACTCTCTGCCGTGCATTTGGACTTTTTTGAACCGTAGGACGAGCGATGATGACAGAGGAGCAGAACCGTGGAGGCCGAATCCATTGATTAGAAACACACATGAAAGGCCCGGCATCATGCAAATCAACCGGAGATTCACCTGCGTGTTAATTAAGTGGACCCCGGCCCCCTGGAGACGTCCCATATCTGTGCCTCCGCACATGTTCCTGCAATCTGTCCTTGACAAAAAAACTACTTTGGTTGCTCGAGTGCGACGAGATGCTGATTGATTCCTTTAAGTGGGTCCTTCTCCCCGAAAACAACCATCTGCAAGTGAACTCTGGCGCATCTCCCGTGTAATTATGCAAAAATGATTTGGTAACCATCGTAACGCAATTGTGTCAGCCCGTGAGAATGATCAGAAACTCGTTTCCATCCGGAACAACAACCACCTGAGGAATGCGTCCCACCGACCCGTCTCGCAGCCAGCGACCCGCCATGGACCCTCAAGGACCAGCGCCGTCAAACAGAGATCCTCTGGTCCGCCTACAACATGTTAAAGGGCACCACATTCCACAGGTCCACAGATCCCACTTGCATTGATGTCGCTGAGCTCCGTGAGCGAATCCACCCAACTGCCAAGTGGCTGCGAGAAATGTCAAATATTTGAGCACGAAAGCAAATAGTTTGACCGCCGGTTTCAACCACTGCAAAAACAGATATATGGTGTGACCCAGAAATAATCACAGCCAGCTTATGAACCCATTGTATCACTCTCTCCACAGTGGTGATATAAACCGGCGTTGTTCGGAGCTCGCTGGAAGACGTGTTTGCTGAGCTCATCCGGCTTTCTGCGGCGGCTCGGTTCCTCTCCTCCACGCGTCGGCCAGGAAAGCTACAGATAACATTCAAATCCATAAATACTTAAACAGAAAAGTGCACTCGGCAGAGTGCTGATCTCTGCCAGGTGTGCCCCCCCACCCCCCCCCCGCCTTATATTCAAGATTGCAATGATTTATTCATCTGGAATAGTGCATAACATTAGCAGATCATAAGAAATAGATCAGAGAAATTCAATTAAAATTCAATGGGGTCCATTTAGAGAGGATTTCCTCATGCAAGTGTCCAAAACATTCCAATCATTTCTAACTAGCTTCTATGATTTAGTCCCATACTTATTGAAATAGCCTGGTAGTTAAATTAAAACCTTAAACTGTCAAATAGTTCAATCGAATAATATCTCAACGTTTATCGATGTTTTTTCAAATTTAAGTTAATGACAAATTAAATTCAGTTGATTTGGGTGCGATAGCACCCTCTTGCACCGTGCCCGATCCATGGTCGTGAAAAGCACCGTTTGCATCATTGTCAGGCAGTGAAGTCACGTGTCACTTTTAGGTTTATAATCTGCGCCTAAAGATGTGGCGCTTCAATATTCAGTCTCTGAACCTCTGACGCGTGAAGGAATCTGACTGTTTGGGCTCTCGTCCAGGTCCCGGGTCCCATCAGCGAGCCCCGATGTGGGGTGAGGGATGAGTCCTGCTCATGCTCAAAAAGAGACCGACCCTTTCCTCTGGGTCTGTGTTTTTCAGTCCTTTGCTACCGAAGGTGATGCGCGCGGACCGTTGAGTCAGCGCTCAGCGGTGGTTTGGACCAGTCTCATCAACCAGAGGTCCTTGAGCAGTGCCGTCATACGTTAGCAATATTATTGTCTGGGGTTTAGTGGTGTCACAGATTATCCTTGGACGGACACGAGTAAATGCACACACACACACACACACACACACACACAATTTAACACATCTCCCCACAGGCTCACGCCTGGCGGACGTAACTTGGCACGTCCCCGTGGTGAGTTATTGCTGCTCGTTCGTACCGTTCCTGGCCAGGATGACAGCGATGTATTGCTGGCTGAAGGTGCTGACGGTGAGCAGCATGGCCGGCCTCTGGGAGGTGACGAAGCTGAAGGCGGCGTCCTCTCTGGCCCTGCTGCTGCTTTCTGCAGAAACGCTGGAGGCCTGCGAGCGTCTGTTCTGCATCACCGAGAAGGGCTCCTGGAAGGTGTAGGTCACCGAGGACTCCATGTCGAAGGACACCGACACCTCTGCAGGACACACACACAGAGGGAGAAGGAGGAAATAATGGCTTTCAGTGCCGGCGGCTCTGCTACAACTGCCTTTGAGAGCAGATTAAAAGAGCGAAAGCCGGCTCACAGCCGCCTCATCACACCTCAACAGTGCGAGCTGGAAAAATCAACATTATGGCGTTATGTCTAAAATCAATGCATTTCTTTTATATGCAGGGACACAAGAACTTTCTGGGCTTTTTCTGTATATTTACTGTGTACCTGCACTCCGTGTTGCAGAGCGACGCTGCAGTAGAATAAATACTGTGCTCTGTTGTCTCTTCCAACACAAATAAGTCTTTCTGGAGCGCAGCGTTAGTGGGGGGATATAAAATAGATGTGTTGATGAGTAAATCATGTGCAGGCAGGAACGTGTCGAAGCACATTATTACACTATGCAAAGGAAAGATGATGTTTCAGTCACCAGACCTCAGGAATTCAAACCACTTATACCTCGACAAGCCAGCGTGGGCACAATTCCAATTTATTTGTGTGCAAAAGTCAAGCAAGCTGCTTTTTGGAAGCCGGAATGACAAAAGAGGGAGAAGCTAAGTACAACTGAGCAGCTAATAACACATTTTTAGACCGCCAAAAATGATATGATTATATTTAATTTAGTAAAAACAATTGAAGCTTATTTAGGTCCTAGACTCATTCGCTCACTAGTGCATAATATTAGCTGCTACTGCTAGTAGCACAGCTTCATATTATTAATATACTGATATATTTATACACATAATAAAAGTCACAGTAAAAAAGGCAGCGTTCATTCAATCGTTCAAAATCTGCCGTTTATCTAAGAAGCAGCATCTCACACTTGAAAGCTGAACTCCCACAGAGACCCGGATCAAAGGGAGAGCATAACACCTTCAGGTGACACACCCGCTCACCGCGGTGACATCCCCGTGGTAATAAAGCAGTATATTGGAGCAGCAGCACGGAGCTGCACCGTGGCTCACAACCGACAGAAAAGCAGTGCAAGCTGTGCAAACAGTGCAAACAGTGCAAGCAGTGCAAGCCGTGCAAATAGTGAAAACAGTGCAAGCAGTGTAAACAGTGAAAACAGTGCAAGCAATGTAAACAGTGCAAGCAGTGCAAATAGTGAAAACAGTGCAAGCAGTGTAAACAGTGCAAGCAGTGCAAATAGTGAAAACAGTGCAAGCAGTGTAAACAGTGCAAGCAGTGCAAATAGTGAAAACAGTGCAAGCAGTGCAAATAGTGAAAACAGTGCAAATAGTGAAAACAGTGCAAGCAGTGCAAACAGTTCAAGCAGTGCGGTGTGGTCCGACACATTCGCTCTGCTTCCTCAACGCCGCATCCCTCCACATATACGATCTGTTTGCTCCGCCGCGGCTCGGCCGTGTCGGCGTCTCTTCTCATCAGAGACAATTTGGTCTAATGCATTTTAAATGTTCTTGGAGTCTGCAGCCAGGACAAGTATTAATTGCCCCTCGCATCACTTGCATTTTTTATCGACGCGGCGTAATGGAATAACCTTGGCAGTGATCGATTGTGTTCTTGTTGTGATCCGCATTAACTTAATGGCGTTGCGCGTGAAGCCGCGGCGGCGGTCGACGGGGACTCACCTTGGTTACAGGTGGTCCCCCCGTAGGCCGACTGGGAGCAGTCGCACACGTAGCCGTTGCTCTTCTCGATGCACCTCCCTCGGTTGTGGCAGAGGCTGGTGGAGCCGCTGCAGTAGCCGGGGCAGCCGGAGGTCACGCCCGGCGCCATCTTGGCCCTCTCCTCCAGGTCGAAGCCGGCCCCGTTGACGGTCAACGTCCTGATGCAGCCCAGGAAGCCCCTCTGCTGGGACGCCGTTCCTCCTGCGGGGAGAACAGCTGTGCTCAGATGCATCTTTGATGGTTTTATTCCCTCAAACGCTGATGAGGATGCAACACAAACATTTACTTAACGCGTGTAGAGCAGCTCCGTGGGCGCCGGAGCGTGCAAAATCAAATTAAGACTAAATATAAACGTCACTGTGAGGGGCTGCTGAAAGAAACAAATGTTCATGACAGCTGATAATTAAAGCCTCACAGAGGTTACAGGCTGATGGCTTTTTTATGTAAACGTATCACATTGTTATTATGCCTCTAATTCATCCCACCAAACATACAAACAGGTGGGTCTAATTTACTTCCATGATCCCACGAGGCTGATAAAAGATTCTTCAATCAAGCCATTGAGTTTGTCTGGCATATGTCTCGTGGAATATGTTGATGGGGGGAAAAACAGCAGGGATTCCGTATGTTCTGGAGCAGGAGAGGCCTTTTCTGTCACCACCAGTTGTTGCTTGTTCTTTCCTCGTACGTCAGAGACATCCTACCAGCTCACACCAGCCGACCTCTCCATGCTGATGGAGCGGGACAAACAAAGGTCATTTGTCACTTTCGGAAAGAGCCAACTCGTTGCAGTGTGGGCTGCAGAGTGCTATTGATGCTAGCGGCTCGCGTTCCTGCGTTCTCCAGCTCAATATGCCCCTAATGTGACGGATTAACAAGACCTTTCAAATGGTACATGTGGTCAGCGATGTTACACAGAGGAAGAAAGGACTCGGAGACAAAGGGTCCTGGAACAGGACACAGGGCCACATAATTCACTGCATATGTTGCACGTTCATCTTGTTTATATAATGATCTTTTGTTGATTTCCATCAAATGTCAGTGACGTTCTACTACTACGTTCTCGTATCTACTTTCCCAAACTGTCATTTCCATCCCTCGCTGAATTATTCCTGAAGGTAAATGACCCATTAAGGCCTTCAGTAGAATGGAGAACAGACTTCTTTAAACGGCGTCTGTCCCCTCCAGAGGCCGGGGGCGTTATTAAGGAGACACATTCAAATGTCAGAGGCTGGTGGATGAATGTGAGAGCAGAAAGATCCTGAACCGGAGCAGTAATGAAAAAACAATGAAACGCTGCAGCGTTACTGTTTCGTTAGCCGTAATTCTTCTCTCCATTTCAGCTGTGGAGACGTGGCGCTGTACCGGGACTTCTCAGAGAGACAAGAGCACTTTGCTCCAATTCATTTCAAGGTTCACTTAAAAGCAAACATGAGCTGCACTCTGGAATAGATTTGGGTTTTGGGTCCCTTTTTTTAGGCTAGTCGAGCTACGGGATCCGCTCAATGCCTGGAGAGGAGGAATTATGGACCAATAACTCACTTTTTGAGGTATCAGAACTTCTCCTTTCAAGCGGCACCAATAAACTTTCTAATCTAGGAAGCGGGAGAACGCGAGAGGCACAGAGAACCAGAGCGCCTCTTTTGCTTTTGGCATTTGAATCGTGTTTCGGCCCACGCTGACCGGCAGCAGAATTAGCAGCTTAAGAGCCTGAGATTTCCCCCAGGAGCTCAAAGGACCGGGAATATCGGACTCACTTTTCATGAGGTGTGTTTGCAACCTGCTGCAATTAATGCACGTTCAAATAAGCCGGTCCCTGGCGAGGATGGGGGGGTGCATTGAGTCTGACAGCGAGCCTACCCACAAACAGCTGGCTGCTGAGCCGCAGGCGGAGGTGTCCGTCAGCCGGAGCCTGCAGGAAGCGGAGGGGGAGCTGGTCCACCTGCAGGGAGGCCTCCTTCACGTTGCGCTCTGCCCTCACGTAGTGCCACTGCCTGTCATTCAGGGGCAGGTGGGAGTTCACGGTCAGGACCGCTGGACCGTTTCCCACGTCAAAGGAGAACGTCACCACCGAGGGAGCTGGACAGACACACACACACACACACACACAGGTCAGGCTGAATGTGGTATTAGGTGCTCGACGCTCCTCCGTCTCCTCTCCTCTCTGATGCAACGCGATACAATGCTACTGGGAAAACTGGATGACCTGAATAGATTTATGAGGCGTCTCGGCTGACAGCTCGTCAATATTTCACGACGTCTGCGACGCTGCAGCAATGCATAATGGCCCCAAATACCCAGAGAACTCCCGCCTTTCACACAACAGCACACACTGCAATCAACTATTTCTAATGTTCTTCAGCCTCGTGATAAATCGACTTCCCCACCGCTGTGGACGTACGAGATCACGTCCCCGGATGGTTTAATGTGATCATAGAAACCTCACAGCGACGGCGCGTTTCGTTATCGGCACTCGTGTAAACAAGTCAATCTTTTGCATGAATATATCTGATTTGATGCCATTTATCTCCTCAGTAAATCCGGCGCGTTCGTCAAGCATTGCGGCTTTAGCGGAGTGGGCAGACAGGGTGGAGGCTTTTAACGCCTCGGCGACAGCCTGACGGAGCTGTCGGCTGCGTCATTAGGACTACATCACGCGCACCTGACAGCCTGCTTCACGGGGGAAATGGAACTGTCGAGTACAGCACAGCCAGCGAAAATAAAAAATAAATTTCCCTGAGACTTCGGCGGCCGTTCTTATGTACGGAAATCCGTCCTCTTCACTGAACGTCGACTCACCGGCGAGCTCCACTCTGATGAAGTCCCTGAGACCCTGGTTCTCCAGAAACACTCCTGAAGGAGCGCTGGTCTTGAAGTAGAAGGAGATATCCGAGGCCAGCTCGGCCTGCAGGGTGGGGAAGTACAGGTAGGACGCCTCCTGGTAGAAAGACACGGTGTTCCACAGGGACTCTGAAAGCAAAGGGAAGATGAGGGTAAAGTGGAAGGAGGAAGACTCTCGCCTGAAGGAAGACGTCGGAATAGATCGCGGCTCGATTATTCGAACCCAAAAGCGACGTCTCGCATCAGTGTCAGCTTTTTAATGAGCTCCTCTGTCTGTTTTTGTGAGGAAGAGTGTTTTGGTACCTGGGGGAGAAAAATGACTACGTCCCAAAATATCTTTATTAAAGCTCGTCTGCTAGATATTCAGAGCATTAATGACGCGTCGAACAACTTTTATATGAATACAAGTTTGACACAGAGCTGAGCAATTATCACCAAAATGACCATCCTGACTACTGAAAAGAACATTACGATTATTTGTTATGTTATTAATTGATTTTAAGAGTTTCACGTTCAAATAAATGCTCTTTGTTACACAACAAAACAACATGATAAATCCCAAAGGTGAATCCAAAACGCGTGAAGCCAAAATGGCGATTGATTGATTGATTGAATCGACAAGCAATCATTTGCCATCATGTGTAGTAATTGTGTGTGAAATAAGAACAGAGTTCATTACTTGAGCACAATTGAAGACACATTTGATTTCTTTTGGAAACTAGGACTTAAAACAGCACCACGGGGGGTCTGGACGTCATTTGACTGCAGATGAGCTCCCAACGAATCCCGTGTCTTTGTCCACAGCTCGCTGTGGGACATGAAGCCGTGCATCTTTCATGTTCCAGCGCTGCTGTCCAGCTCTGCCCCCCCGCCCCCTTCTTGTTGCCCCATATTTTGGCACCTCTGCTTGGCTGCAAAGCAGGAGTTTGAGAACCCGATTTCAGCAGGTTTGCTGCCAGCCGTCCGACTCTCAACACGACAGGTTGGCTCGAACTGTCGATCAGAGGCATCGGGCCGCCTGGTCGTGATCTGACCCGCCCCTGACCCGCCCCCGACGCCCATCTGCAACCAAACCCGCCACAGCGCCGAGGTGATCACCTACTGTCTCCATAGCAACGCAGCGGGCCGACGCGGTGGACGGCCTGCGAGCCCGTCCGGTTGGTGTCTCCGATCACTATCTGGCTCACTGGCAGGTGGTCTTTGTAGGAGAGGACCCCCGTGTCATTGGCCCTGCGGCACACACACAACAACAACACAAATAAACAAGCAGCAACACGGGGGCCCTCGGGGCGGACGCCTTCCTGGGAGGTCCAGATAAAGACATCCATTCTTTTTGCATTAGCGCAGAACGCGGAGTAAACACATTAAAACGGGGAGAAATCTATCACCATGCAGACAACTGCCTGTGGAAATATGCAGAGTGAGCGGAATCGCGAGAGGCTTTTCAGTGGATTAACGGACGGAAAAACAAAGACTTTCAGAGCATCGGATGCAGCAGAACCAGAACGCAGCCCCAGAAAAGTCTTATTGGATTGAGCGTGATTGTGTGAGCAGCAATTAATCACTGAGGAGGTTCACTTGTTGAAGAATCTGGGAGTGAATCTCTGTGAAGGAACCGAGAGAAACGAGCAGAGGACACATTCTTTGTGCTCCGTTCCCGTGATTGAGAAATATTCTCTGTGAATTGACTTTCGGAATGCTTAATGGAGGACTTGATTAATTAATCATGATTAGTCTTTCTGCAGAGGGAGGTGCAGTAGTTCATGAATAAACCAGATTGATTATGAGATATCACCGATAATTTGTTTTTTTCTGGTGGTCTTGATCCTCCTCCTCCTCCCTCATGTTTGATCATTAATATTGGGATCCTCGTGTGTGGGTCTCCGGTGGTACACGTGGCTGCTTTGTCTTAGCGTTGAATCAATAAATCCTCCCTTGGCGGAGGCCGCGTGTACCATGCGTCGCCGTCGGCGTCACAGTTGCAGAAGTAGTTCCTGTGCACGCAGTTCTCCTTCAGACTGCAGGAGCACTGCTGGACCCCAGGCAGGAGGCCCACCCAGTAGCTCCGCTTCTCTCCGTCCCGGTCCAGCCACCAAGTCAGCGGACTGCCGTCTGCGGAGGAAGAGAACGGACGGTCAGTGCGCGCTCGGGCCCAAGTAGGTCACGGTCACGGCTTCTCTTCGGAGGACTGAGCTGTTTCGCTTCGATGGCTTTCTCTCAAAATGCAAAAGTTTAATGCATCAACAACTATAATCCTTCACAAGAAACTATTTCTCTTCGATAAAATTATTATGAAGTATTATAATGGTCCTCATTGTTATCATAAT